AGCGGTTCATGCACTGAATAACAGAACGATGGGCATTGATGGTCATATTTACCAATCTGATACCTTAACAGTGTCTATTTTGTGTGTGTGTGCGTGTGTGTGTGTAAAATTTTAGACATTACAATAAACATTCCAATATACACTCTTAAAAATAAAGGTTCTTTATTGGCATCTATGATTCCATGAAGAACCTTCAAGATCCATGGAACCTTTCCATTCCACAGAACATTGTTTGGTTTTGAATTTTTTTTCACACATTCAAGAATACACTTTTAAACATAAAGGTTATTTACTGGCATCTATGGTTTCATGAAGAACATTTAACATCCACTGAACCTTTCCATTCCACAAAAGACTCCTTATAGTGGAAAAAGGTTCATTAGAATATTAAAACGTTCTTCATACATTCTAATATACACTCTTAAAAATAAAGGTTCTTTATTGGCATCTATGGCTCCATGAAGAACCTTTAACATCCAGGGAACCTTTCTATTCCACAAAAGATTCTTTATAGTAGAAAAAGGGAAATATTCTAAAATAAAAATGGTTATTTTAAAAACTGATCACTGCAAGGTTCTTTGGGGAACCAAAAAAGTATTTTTCTATGGAACCACTGTGAAAACCCGCTTTTGGAACCTTTATGTCTAAGAGTGTATATCGGAATTTGTGTCTTCATCTCTTTGAATCAATTGCAAGGACATTATCCTATACAACAAATGCACTGTCATTTGCATAGTATAAAATGTTTCTGTTATGATGCAAATCCTAATTTGCATCTCTCGCAAATCATGTGAACATTTGTTGATATCCTAATTTTTTGTAAAGTTCAGCTTGGTGATTATTCTCCTGCTGCCCAGATGAAGATTGTTTGTTGATTGCGCTCAGTATTTACGTCTGTCCTGTCTGATGATGGTAGATGAGGCCTTGAGCTCCGGCTGGGACGAAGATGTTTGCTGCAATCACAGCCTTTTACTCTCCTTATGAAAATTCAGTTTTTGCAGTGGCCAGCCTGCCAAACCAGACTGGGCAGACGCGTGTGGAGATGGTCTGGAGGTACATTGGAGACTGGAGTGCTTTTCTTTCCCCCTGTTGATTGACTCATCAAATCCCAACGGTTATCTAGCTGTCTGGTGGGACTTGTTTGCTATTGATTGATTTGATGGGCGAAATAAATCATTAGGACATTCAAAGCAGAGAAGGAAATCTTGTGATTCACTGAAGTGGTCTGAGTGAGTTGATGATACGGACATTTACAGAATATTTTATGGGCTGCTCTTTGACAGAAACATCTTATTGTAGCTGGCTGTGTTTTTATATTTTTGTGACAGTTTCAGGAAAGTTGTTTTTTTTATGTTTTTTGAAAAGAAAAAAAAATCCCTTATGCTCACCAAGGTTGCATTTGACAAAAACATGGTGTGAAATATATTGTGAAATATTATTACAATTTAAAACAACTTTTCTGTTTTAATGAATTTTCAGGAGTCATTCCAGTCTTCAGTGTCACATGATCTTTCAGAAATCATTCTAATATGCTGATTTGCACTTTTGACCAATTTAATAAATATATAATAAAAATATATTTTATTTAGTTTTTTATTATTTTTTTTTATTTTATTTTATCCATTTGTCATGATTTTAGTGCTGTCAAACGATTAATCGCTTCCAAAATAAAAGTTTTTGTTTACATGATACATCTTTGTGTAATATAAATATATACATGTAAATACATGCAACTATTTTCAATATATATACTGTATGTGTGTGTATTTATATATACTTAATAAATACACACAGTACACACACATATATATCATCATGTAAACAAAAACTATTATTTTGGATGCGATTAATCATTTGACAGCACTACATGATTTATTTAATTTATTACACCAAGAGGGCCAGGATTGCCAATGTTGCCCTCTTTAAAAAAAAAAATCTGTGAATGTCATCTTTCGTTAAGTCTGTCCACAGAGTTAAAAGCACTTTGACATGTTTAACATGTTTTCATGGGTGTGCCATTTCTAAAAGTTATTTTATATCTTTATTCTGAGTCATGTGCTTCACTAGGAGGAAATTTACTGGGATATAAGTGGTAGGTAGCTAGCATGAAAAATTACAGGAAAGGAAAAAAGACAAATGAAGCAGAGCAGCATGTTTTGGCATGTGTCTGTGGCGTGTGGAGATGCGGTACGCTACATCTGGGAGAGACAGATCCTCGACGCCTCGCTTTTCAGTTGAAAGCAACAGAAAAAATGTCAACTAGTTGGAAGACCAAGATGAATAAAATGAACATAACAGAAAATAAAACTCCTGTGTGAAAAATGGAGAAGGGTGCACAGACAGGTACTTCCTACAGGTGATGCATCTTTCTGTCTCTCAGACTCTTTGACTTTGGTCATAACCTGTTGAGGATGATCACAGGGGCCGCCGGTACACACAGACCTCTGACCCCAGCTTCAAACGGAGAGCGACAGTAAATCACGCCACGGCGGATGCCCTTATACATTCCCATTGAGCAGCCAACTCCCCTCGGGCCAAGCTTACAGGAATGCCAGTAATGTTAACTGACTACCTCAACAGAGCCTCAGGTGAGAGACCAGAGAGAAACTGTACACACTTTTAGAGTGAATTATAGTCTATTAGCTGCTGTGTTTTCATATGTTACAGTAGTTCTGCAATTTATTATAAACAGTCGACAAATGTATATGTGTTTTCACAGTGAACAAGGAAATGACTGGTGTTGTAGAATCACGATTATTACCTGTATTTTTATTACAGTAATCTCTTGTATATTTACTGATTTGATCTAAAATTATATTTGCTGAGAGCCTGGTTGACAACTCATACTAAAAGTTCACACCTGACAAATATTGATCTCAGAAATACAGTAAAACTGTAATATTATGAAATATTATTACAATTTAAAATAACAGTTTTCTATTTCAATACATTTTTAAATATTATTTATTCCTATGATGGTAAAGTTGAATTTTCAGCAGCCAGTACTCCAGTCTTCATGATCCTTCAGAAATCATTCTAATGTACTGATTTGGTGATTAAGAACATTTCCTATTATTATCAATGTTGAAAACAGTTGTACTCAAAAGAACGTTTTTGCTGTCAATTTTGAGTGATTTAATACATCTTTGCTTAATAAAGGTAATTATATATTTTTCGATCAATCAATCAATACATACACGCATACATACTTACATCTGACTAACCCCAAATGTTTGAATGGTAATGTGTGATCAGACGTAAGAACAGAAGCATATACACTTATGAGACAATTAGGGTTCTAAAAACCAGTGTCCTCCATGTCTAATCACATTAGCTAACTTCTGCAGTTTGAACTGGTTGAAATTATAGACTCCCTTTTATTTCCCTGCTTGCTAACCACTAGTTACATTTTATGTTTACATCTTAAAGTGAAAAGGACCTATAATTGGAATTTCTTATGTGATTTTGCCTATATGCTTAAACCTGGTGTTTCCTGTTTGTAGTATCACTCTCCATTAAGGCCTTTTTAGCTCTGACACAGGCAGCACTAGCCAAATCATTGAAATTATGACAAATCCATCAAGACGCTTTTAAAGATGAGTGAACTCCATATGAGTCCTCCAGTGAAAAAGTAATCTCATCTGAATCAGGAGAGAAATATGCACAGATCAAGCACAAGCAAAAACAGTCCAAAACAGTTCTAAACAAACATGTCAGTGGACTTTGATGTTAGGGACAGTTTAAATTTCTTAAAGATGGATTTGTTTCTTACAAACACGCAGCTTTTCACTTTACAAGACTGATGGACTGGAGTCATGTGAATGACTTGTTTTTATCAGCTGTTTAGACTCTCGTTCTGACGGCACCCATTCACTGCAGAGGATCCAGTGGTGAGCAAGTGATGTAATATAAATTTTTTTTGCTGATAATATAGCATAATGAGTGATTTATAAGCAATTGTTTGAGGGAGTGCCTTTTTTGCTCTGTAACCTCGTAAGTGTGAAAGGGTTCTGAACACAACACAAGGGTTAATCACAATAATGGTGACCATTCAAATACAACTATCATCCCATATGTTTATGCAATATGGTCCTTCTTCTTACAGTGAATTTGATGTTTTCACAGAAAATGAGCTAGCCTGCAGAGATTGATTACATTCTGATTATTTTACTCCAATAAATTATTGTTAAATCTTGGCTCTTAGCCTTTATTGTGTCTGATCACATTTGTTTACAGTGTACACAGTCTCATCCTTTGATAATTTCAGAAAATAAGCTCATTTATACAACAGTTCGTTCTGGTTGTCAAATCTGATTGGTTGAGAACCGTGAGATATTGTACTGGTATCGCTACAGAAACACCCTTTCACAATTTTGTATCACTCCGCTTGTTCTAGCCGGGTCTATGTTTTTTTTTTTATTATTCACTGAGCTAATCGTAGAGTACGTTAGTTAATGTAAGAAGAAACGTCTAGCTTCGCGGTCTCTTTCTCTCTCATTTGGATGCACGTCTTGCCGCATTGTTTCTCTCTTATAACCTCATTATTTCTCACTAATAACCTAACTGAAGCAGCACATGCCCTTGATACGAATTCTAAAAGTGACGTATGTTTAACTGTCAAGTTGAGCTTTGAATCCATGGCGGAAGGAAGTAGTTCCGCACAAAAAAGGGTTTTATTAGGCACTCGGTTGTTTCTTGTTTAATTACACACGTTCCGTCGAACTGTTGTATAAACGCAATATCACTGTCGTACTCGAGTGATATTGCTCATATATCTAACAGTGGAGCCATTATTATAGGCTGTTTTGATGTTTCTTAAGATCAGTCTACCATGGAGAAAAAGATGCGACTACACGAACAGCACCTCTTACACTTGAATTCACTCAAACGCAGGTTGTCGTGATGGTTTAGGCCTCTACTCTACTCAGTACCAATCCTAGACTTCTGGGGGCCCTATGCAAAACTGTGTCGGAGGGTGGGGGGTGGTGGTGGAGTGGGATATGAGTGGTTATGAACGAATGAATGAAACGCATTTGTCCGTGTTTCACTCCGTCTCTAATCGAGCTCACGGAAAGCGCTTGAGGAACAGTGTCTCTTCTGCGGCTCGGTACACTTTCAACTCGTTTTTTAGTCTCGAGTAAGACTGTACGTCCTTCACATTACATGATTTGACTGATTTTTACGTAGAAAGGGCGACAGCGCACCGCATTAAAAGAAATGATCATTCATGTTTTCATAACCGCTGGCCAAATTCAAAACAAAACTAAAATTAAATCATCTTTGAGAGCAAGGGGGCCTCCTGGTGTTTCGGGGGCCCTACGCAGCTTGCGTATTTTGCGTAAAGGGAGGATCGGCTCTGACTCTACTGTCACTTCTGTGCTTCAAATGCTTCACTCACTGACATCATTCAAAGAGCCAAGGTCAGCGAGAGTCCTCTGCTTTACATACCCGCATAGCAAATGAAGGCCTTTCAATCAGATGGGAGAGTGTGTGCCTGACCACAAACAGGCCCGCCATGACGGATGAAGGGATAAATCAGTTAAGCTTTAAGAGAGGCCGCAGACTGTCACATTCACACTTGCCGCATAAAGTATGGGGCATACAGTACATTCATTAACATATTGCAGCCATAACATTTATTAAAAGTGATATTCTGATTTTCGCACACATGCACCTGGCAACTGTCTAATACAATCTGCAGCATAACTTCCAAACTGATATACATATCGAACAGAAAAATGAGAGTCTTGTGCTACTTATCAATTCAGAGATGGGCAAATTGAAGTCTTGCTCTCTCATTTGTCAAAAGTTTGTTCAATTTTTATACTGCACAAGAGGCCAGCCAGCGCGCACAAGTCCTTCAACGATCAATACATTATCTCCAGCCAGGCTTTGATAAGCAAGGTCCTAATACCCCTGTTTTTTTCCTTTCCTTTTACTCAAACCGAGTAAAACAAATTAAAAACACAACAAGTCAGTAAAAGACCAATTCATAAAGGCACAGCAGCTGCCTAAGGCCCATGACAGGATGCTGAGGAGAAAAATCAGCGCTGACCTCTCCCCCGGCTCATCTATCTCCTCTTACTGTCCACCAAAGGGGCTTCACAACACTGATTTATGAGCCAAAGAAAAATGCCACGCTGGAATGGGCTTTTGATAAAATTGTTCAAGAGATTCCAGGCTATAAATCCTGATCTTTTACGTCCAGGTCGCTAGCTACTTTCACATTCTTCTGCCATCAATAAGAGGACGCTGGACATGACAACTAATCCATAATGCTACAATATTCCTGGCACTTTAGGAAAACAGTAACATTTATATTTCTCTAGTAAAGATTCTGTGCTTATGGATCTAGAAGGATGTTTGATTTAAAGTTGAAATGATATGTGGTCAGATATTATTTGTAACATTCTAAATATTGTTTGAGAAAAATTTTTACATGATTTTTGCGCAGTTTCCTGGTGTAGACAAAGCAATATACATATATTATAATTCATAGTCTAGAAAAAAGGAAGGACCCGTTCATGCATTTAGGAAAAAAGGTATATATTGTATATAAAAGGGATGTGCGCATGCACACACACACACACACACACACATGTTGGTACTGGTGGTTTACGGGGACTCTCCATAGGCGTAATAGCTTTTATACTGTGCAAACTGTATTTTCTATCGCCCTACACCTAAACCTACACCTCACAGAAAACTTTTCAACAGAGAACATACTAAAACACCATTTAGTATGTTTTTTAAGCCTTTTAAATTACAGGGAAACAGAAAGTGTCCTCATAAACCACCTTCATATTGTAATACCTGTGTCATACCCATGTCAATATACAAATTTGTGTCATCATAAACCACCAAACCAGTGCACACACACACACACACACACACACACACACACATTATATGTACTACCAAAATATTATTTTTTGGTTTGTAATCAAAGAATGAAGCAAAAAATGTCATGCATTAAAAATGTCAGTTATTGAACCCAAAACCCGACATCTGCCATGAGCCAGACATCATTCACCATCAAAAAAAAAAAAGCTTGAGATGTTGCTTTAATGTCAGAAACCTGTCGGTGTGTGTAACTGAAGTGCCGTTCACATATTTGCGGTTGCCCCGAGCCAAAGCTGTTGAATTTATGGTGACAGGTACGATTAGCATCTGGAAACACAAGTCCTCTGCATCACATGATCAGATTTTTTAACTGGTGGCAGGAAGCATACCGTCAGAGAGCTGGCGCCAGAAAGGAGGAATGAGTCAGTGAGAGCCTCCTGCTGTCTTTATGATCGAAGGATGAGAAAAACAATGAGACAACCACTGCGCACAGGTGTTTTCGAGGAAGGAGGGGACGTGTAAAAACAGGTAGCTGCGTATCAGCACCAGGATTCATTGTCTCTCATAAAAGAGAGGGAGGGAAAAAAAGAAGAGAAAAACAGCTCTTCCAAGAGAGCTCGGCGCTGGCTGTTTTCCCAGGGTAATTGCAGTTGTAAGGGATTGCAATTTAGTTCTGCCGAGCTATGTTGAGTTACAGTATGCAAATGTAATTCCCCTCCATCATCAGCACAGAGGGACAGTGGAGACTGATGCAGTTCGCTCAGGCTTCAGTGATAAACATTTGGCAGGAAGGCAACCGATCGTCACCAGGGAATCATATGCCACTTCCAATGAGATGTTTTCTTAAGAGCCATTTTAAAAGACAATGACTTGGGCAAACGAACTGGGAGGACGACAAACACAGCAGGCCTGGACTGGAGTGGCTCAGCCGAGCTTGGCGAATAGGAACGGCATAACTTGCAAAGGCGGGGGGGACAACAGTGTCCTCAATGAGAAAAGGAAGATGAAGTGGCTAATCTACAAAAGTGAGTTTGTGTTTCAGATTAGGGGCCCTGCCAACAAGCACAGAGCAAAGACACTACTGACAGGACAAGGAAATGAAATGTTTACTGATGGGAGGGGGGTGAGGACGACACACGTCCCAGCTCTGGCTGTGCTCAAGCCCTCTGGTAGCATTACAGAATGAGAAAGAGTGGAGAAGAGGGGGGAGTGATGAAAACAGGTGTTACAGGAAGAGTGGGGGGCTTTTTTAAATACAAAATTCCTGAAATCTGCCCATTTAATGACTTCACATCTCAGCCAGAAGAAGAGTGAAGTCAGCTGAAAATACTCAATTAAGTAAAACAAATTGGCAATAAAAAACAAAATGGTTAAAATAATCATTTTAAACAGCATTGCCCTCGTAAAAAGAACACATCAGCATACTTAAAAAAAGAGTACTTAATATGGAATTAATGTACTTTACGTGCAAAGTTTTCAGACTCTTATGTTCATATTAATTGCAATTCAATGAAAATGTATTATAGCTTGAATATATTAAATGCAATCAAAAGTTTTGACCTAAAACTTACTTGACCCAAGACTTACGTACATCTTTATATGTAATTTCATAATTATTTATATTGCCTTTTCAAGTAAGGGATAATATCGCTGAATAACCCATGATACAAGACCTGATAATCCTGTCAGGGGTTATTCTGCGGTAACAATCGTCTGGATGTACATTATCCCACTTATTACATGGCTACTTGTCACATAAGTAAATAATTAGACACAAAATTTATTTAAGTTGAAATATTTGAAAGCAAAGCTTCCGTGAACACAGCAACATTTCACCACATAAATAATTAAGGCGATAAAATATATTGATTTAAGACAAAAACGTTTTCAAATATTACCAGTTTATTAGTTATCTTATAATCAATTAGTGTACAAAACAATTGTCTACATTACAAAACAACAGTTAACATGAGAATGAAGTACTTGACATATGCTTCAGTACTTAGTAAACATAAAACAAGTGAACTTCTTGAATGTGTACTTCCTGAATCTAAAATGCACTTTAAAACGTTTAATCTGACATTATTATAAAGTGCAATTTTTTAAAGACACTATGTTACGAAACCGTCATGAAAGTGTTCTTCCTTTAAATATACTTAAATGGCCCTTTATTTCATTAAATATTTGCTAGTACAGTTTTTTTTATACTTTTAAGATTTAAAGTGCACTTCAAGTGCACATCCTTTTTCGACATACATAGGTAAACACTGACAAGGGAGTCATTTATAGCTTTGTATGCACACTACTCCACAATTCACTTTTCACAAGTAATGTTAGCAGACGTCTTATTCGTGAATGGAGGGGAAGAGAAACACATCTGTGTCATAGGTCAAATGACAATAGCAGATGTATTCAGATGTATAGCAGATGTATTCCCGACTGTATTCATACAATGCACATGCATACTTACAGAATGTATTTTTTAATGGTAAAGAAGTAAATCTGCAGTACATCAAATGCAGTACATACTCGAAAAGCAAAAGTTTTCACAAAGGTTTTCCCAAACATGGTTGATTTATTCCATGAGCTAGTGTCTAAAGTGTCTAGTGATACCAAGAGAAAAGCTGCGTCCAAAATTGTTTACAGAGTAGCTACTACATTTAATTGCAAACTAACTTTGCGACCACAGCAAAACTATTGTCTATATATCAATGTGTGTAGTATGAATGAAATCTGGATGTACTACATCCCCCATGTTGTCACTGACATGTGACTTACAGTGTCAGTTGCGTCGCTTCACTATAGGTCATCCAGGTACTCTTCGCCTACAATTTTTGCTTCACCTACTGCTTTTGCTACTATTTATGAAAGTAGTTATATTATTTGATTGTATGGAAAGTGAGCAGTATTCGGCTGGCCATGTAACCTCAATATGGCTGCCTTCATGAGGTGACCCACTCCATGTAGAATGTACGTACAATTAATTTTTTAACCTAAAAAACGTTTTTTAAATGAGGAAAAATTACTTGAGTGCGTCTTTAAATGGTGGTGAAGTGTGTTACACAGTGTGTGAGAGACATAAAAGCGGCATAAATTATTGTTTATGATGGAGTCAATATGAGTCCATGCACACATATCTTTCATAATGATTGTGACATTATAATGTTGCAATAGATCATAAAGGCTGATAGCTTTAATGACTGACAGACAACACAAGCTTCTTGTGGCTTACCTCAAGGTCTGTGCGAATTCATGCTTTCTTCAATGATACCTGGATGTGAATCAAAGAACGTGTCTTGAAAGGAAAAGATGCATTTGAAATGCCTTGACATCCTCAAAATATCAAGACAAGATGGGTTGTCAACACTGGATATCTCACCTTTGTACAGACAACCCATAATATTGCATCCTCAAACCTATCCATCAAGCACCTATCCATTAATCTCAAAGGACAAAAAGGGTAGACTGAAGGAAAACTCTTGCATTCAAAGCTTTCCTTGAAGAAATGTGAGTTCTGGAGCAATTCTGAAACTGAAAACGGAGAATTTTCCAAATTCTACAGGAAAAGATTCAGTAAAGCTCTATTTTGTCAGTTTACAGTAACAGAAAACTTGACTGTCAAGAGAAAAAAGTGATTTTCTCAAGGCTCTCTTGAATGTTCAATGGGGATGGAGTGAGAAAAGCGATGTTAATTTCATCTCCCTCAGCCTATTGCCACTGCACTGCGTGGACAACACCAAACGCTCCAAAGGCATCTTTGTAATCACAGTACTGAGAGCAGAGGCCAGACGTCCCCTGTGTCTCATCTCCACACTAATCTTTCATTTCCGAGGCTGCTGCCCCATATCAAACACCCCCCCTCACACACATACACACTCAAACGGCTCAATTTGCATGGCAGAGGGGGATTTGTAGCAGGGGCAAATCTGGTGTCAGCCTCGATTAAATGTTACACGGGTGTGCTATCATAATCAGGCAACTAATGAGCGACGTGAAGCACAGTGGCTTGACATTAGATGGAGGGAATTCTGCATGCAGGAGTTTGGGATTAAATCCTTTCTGCTCTCACCAGGAAGCTTCCATGTTTGATAAGGAACCATGTCCTATCAAGATGGCGATTTGGGGCCTAATTTTCACAAACAAACTGCAAAACGATAAGACTTCTGGTCACTAATTTGTGACAGCCAGTCTTGTCTACACAATTTTGTGTGTATAAGGGTGAATCAGAATGTGTTTACTACAGGATCGGTGGAGGCAGTGGCATGATGCATCTATTATTGTTATTTAAGTATTATTTTGTGAGAGAGCCTGGCTCACTTGGTGAATAATGTAGCTCTTCATAAAGGTTTAAGACATATCAGTGTAATGGTACTGTTCTAATTCAAACTGTGGACTTGGGTTCAAATTAGAATTTGAACAATTATACTTTAATAAATAAATACATATATTTTACATATTTAAGATGTAGTCCACATATTAAATATATTTATTATTTATGTATTCAAGTTGCTTTGAAAATCCAAGTTACTAAGAAATATGAGGGGGCTTCTGGATCGAATTCAGTACCTAATAAATTTAAACTTAATTAGAATTTAATAAATTAATATATTTCAGTACCTGTGGACCTGTGTTCTAAATTTTTCATTAAATAATCTATATATTATTTTATTTATAAAATATATTTTCTTTCTTTCTTTCTTTATAGAATTTATTTATTATTTTTTCATTCAAGTTGCACTGAAAATCCACAATGCTCTAAAATCTGAGCCGGCTTCACAATGCAATCATTATTCCATCTTTAGAATGCAAGAAGCAACATATATTTACATACAGATGTAGATTGGACACTCATAATCATAGCAGGAGCACCTGACGCTTGGATCTAATGTGTCAGTAAACACAGGACTGCAGCTTCCTACTGGAACACAGAAACCTCAAATTAGAAAAGATTACAGTGGGTAAAAATAATGTGTACTTGAGATCAAGAACATTTAATTAATCAAATGAGTAAAAGTAACTGAATTTAACTGACTCATCCTGAAGTACCTCACCTGTATTGACTTGATTAGAGGGTGAAAAGTGAAGAAAAAGGAAGTGAAAATGTTCTTTTCACAGAGAATTCCTCCTTGCTGTCTTCACTTTCACCTCCCTCCAACTAAAATACACTAACGTGTGCATTGTTTCCCCTCT